GTGTTCATGTTGTCCAGTAAATTATGCTAGTAAAAAAAAATTTTTTTAAATCTCTTTTCTCACAATTTTCACAAACCACCGACAACCTGTGCAGATTTTCCCATGTCCTTGTGCTCAAATCTCTCTGCCAGTACACTCTGGGTAATTCATTTGTGGTCTGTGTGTACATGGCCAAATTCTAGCCTTTTGTCTTGGGGAGCCTTCCCATAGACAGCTGGAACTGTTCTGAGTGAGGAACTGTATGGAACGTCTGGAGGAGTAAAAGGAAGACTTGAAATTGGCTGTGGGGTCTAGCAAAATCATAAAAATCACAAAGTATTTGAATACTCTAAGCCTGGACTGAAGCAGTATTTAGAAGTTATCTATTAGTTCAAAATTACTTCTGTAAGCACCTTGCATGTTTTTATGTGACATACAGTAAGATGTTAAGCATGAAGATTTGATTTCATGTAAATTTATACTTTTAAGAGAATTTTCATAATCATATATTACTGTAACTTCATACCTTGCAACACATAAAACCAATGTAAAACCAAAGACTTCCATGGAAAATTTTCTGAAGGTCATTCTTATTACCTGACATTGTCAGGGAATCATTGTTGAATTTTCAAATACTTGTGATATTTTGCCTTTGAGAAATGTAGCAGCTAACAAACAAGAGGAAGAAGAAAGATTTAGATGTTGTTTTTAGAGAAAGATTATTAAAAATAAGTTATATTTATATAGCTTTTGGATCAATTTTAAAGCATTGTCTTATTCAGTTTTTGTAACTTTAAAAAGTCATTTATAAATTTTCATTCTTCAAATTCCTTTCGACATATCTGCTAAAACTGCTGTTTTAATGATAAGGAAATGTTATCTTTTATAAAATTTCAGTAGTTTATTGTTTGCATAGAGAAAATAGTTTAATTTTTGAATATTGACTTCTATCCAATGGGCTTCATAAGTGCATTTTTAATTCTTATAATGAAGGATGAAATTTATAGTTTGCCTTCCCAATTCTTGTGCCTTTTTATGTTTTTTTATGTTATTGCAATAATTAGGACTTCAATTATCATTTAACTAAAAGTGGTAATTGTGGGCATCCTTGTCTTGTTACAATAGCCTCAAATGAATATATTGTTTGCTGCAAACTTTTGTATGTACTTTGCTATATTAAGGAAGTCCCTGTGCTTTGCTAGGCACTTTTATTATAAGTAGCTGTTGAATTTCATCAAATACTTTTTCTGAATCTATTGAATTTCTTATGTGATTTTTCTCCTTTTGGTTGTTAGTGTGGTGAGTTACCTCATTCTTTTGTTTGTTTTTTGTACCAAGGATTGAAGTCAGGATCTTTGCATTGATTGCATTCCAACCTCTTTATTTTTGAGACAAAATCTTACTGTGTTGTCAAACTGCTCAAGGTGGGCTCAAACCTGTGATCCTCTTGCCTCAGCCTCCTAGAGTGCTAGAATTGTAGGGTGTGCCACCATGCCTGGCTAATCTTGAAGGATTTTTGAGGCATAAACTATTCTTGCAATCTTGGGGAAATATCCCTCTTTATCATACTAATGTTTATGATTTCTGCATCTATGTGTCTTGTATTTTCTGTACTGTAATAGTTTCTTTACTGTAATTTTTTTTTAATAAAGAAAACATAAGATTTTGACATCAAGTTTATGCTGTTAATAATTATTAGAGAAGGGTCTTTTATCACTTTCCTTTTTGCTATTCTCTAGAAATGTTTGTATGATGTTGGTGTTATTTCTTCTTTAAATTCTGAAATAATGCACTGGCAAGGCTATCTGGATATATAGTTTTCTTTTAGGGAAAGTGTATAAAAGTAGATATAAGGCTAAAGATTATTCTATTTATGTTTCGTAATAACATTACATAAGTTATCATATTTTTTGACATAAATTAGTATACTATAGTGATCCTTTTAATGATACTTTACAATGCCATGATTCCCATAACCAAAAATAATACAAAATATGACTATCAGTTCTATGAATTTTTTGAGCATATTTCAAATTGGTTATCACATTTGTGCCTCTAAATAGATAACATAATACTGATATGAATCTCTCTCTCTCTCTCTCTTATTTTTTCTGTGACTTTAAATGCTTACACTACATGAAAGTATTTACTCAGCCACAGAGGGAATCAAAATACTACTTACATTTGTGTTTGGAGGGTTGGAGTAGCTGAGGCACACCACCGATATCTCATTAATGTTGGAAATGTCACTCTCCAAATGGCTTTTGTTCTTGAGATTATTCTAGTGATGAATTGATGAATGAGTGAATCCTCCAAGTGAAGAGTATGATGTTGAGTGGAAATCATAAGAAATGTATAATAATAAATAATTAAGTAATATATCTAAAATTTATCTGATATGAGATATTCAGTTTCAAGCAAAATGGCTTAGTAATTCTGTTACAAAACTGAGCATCTTTGGTTTAACAACCTGCTGGATGACTTCGGTGAATAGCTAAACTATTTGCAGCATTCTTTTCCATTATAGGAAGTAGAGCTAACATTGTTTTGTCTTATTGTATCACTTCTAATAGCAATAAACACAGTGTTGTATGTAGTCCCTTACAGTCCAGAAAACAGCCAGCAAGGAGACTCTAACCTATGAAGGTGTCAGAGGAACTCTTATCTTTATAATGATTTTTCACATGGCCAAAAGTAAGACAGAAAATTAGTCATAAGAGATCTCTGAGGGACCTTAAAAACACCAAGTTACTATGACTCTGTGAGCTCTCCATGTTACACCCATCAAAGCAGTCAGGCCTGTACCATTGTAAAGCATCAAATGGAGCTTTGCAATAAACTGATAGAAGAAGCACTATTGATTTTGTAAGAAAGTCAGAAATAACCAACCCAAAGGGAATGCATCTATCCTTAGGCTGCCTTTATAAGACAGAGTGAATTTTGAGCTGTAAGGGATTGCAGAAGTTACTGAGACTTAATATTCTCCAAAAGAAAACGGAGTAAACTAGATGAGATCACATGTAGAGTGGAGAACCTAATGCTAGCTATGGGCATGTTTTTCTTTAAGGAAAATCAGGTTCCAATATCTAAATGTGAAAAACAGATAAGCTAAAGGGTCATTATTACTTTATAAGGAAATTTTATTGTTCAATAAATAACTCTCTGCAGCATTCATTAAGTAGCAAATTCCCAGTGCCTTTAAGAAGTGATTCAACTTTCAAGCATTTGCTTTCCAGTCAGAGTTTCAGCAATACATTTGTTTAGGAAAGAAGGGTGTGCTGATATTCTTTCTGTGACCTGCCATTGTGAACTCAATCACATACCAGTTATATTGCCAGGGACAGTTTCTGGCATTTTCCCAGGTTTTGGGAACATTGTTGCTTTTACTGAACAAAATTTGGAGAGTGAGCTGAACAGCCAAAATAGAGAGAGTGGGTCATGAGCTGGGGCTGGAGGAGCTTTTGTGTCTGAGACAGTGGCAGGATATTGCTTTCCTTCTTGTCAGCCACACCTTCATGAATTTTTTTAATGGATACAATACACTTTATCACAAAGGTATATTAAAAATGGAACAGAATTTGGGTGGAGTAGCCATACACAGTCTAAACCCTTTACCTCCTAGTTGACAGGGTGGAGTAAGCAAGGCATTCCTTGCCAAGCATGTTTATCTTGGCCCACAGGACCAGTGGAGAGGTAAGGGTCCTCTCTGGCCACAAAGTTGAAAGTTTCTTAATTTGCCTCAACTCCCTCCATTCCCAAGATTGTTAAACAGTCTCAACAAGAGACTTGATTGATAAAAAGGAAAGGTTATTTGGATTCATTATTTTCTAGGCACATATTCACGTAAAAAGCTAGAGACCAGGGCCGGGGATTTAGCTCAGTGGTTCTGCTGCCTGCTTTGCAAGTGCAAGGTCCTGAGTTATATCCCTGCTACCACACACACACACTCACACACACACACACACACACACACACGCACACACACACAAGAAAGGAAAAGAAAAATCTAGAGACCGTGGAAGGTGACAACATAGAATGCTTTCTTTTCTATCTCTAAAGACATAGTGATGAGATTTTTTCCATAAAACTATGAATCATTAAGCTAAACTTTAGAGATATCTGTGTAAAAAGGCTCATAGAAATTTGAACTATAACTAACATATATTAAAGGCTATTTTAGTACCTTCTGTGTATTAACTTAATTAGTTTTTATAACATGAGGTAGGCACTATGATCAACATTATCATACTTACTATCCACATGTGGATATGGAGCTGTGCACAGGTAAAATATTAGCCTATGGTCACATAATCTGTAGCAAGTAGTAGAGGGTAAATTTATACCTAGGCAAGCTGATTCCAGAACAATCTTAGTACATGTGTTCTGTTACTTTTTTTAAAAAAGGCACATAAAATGATATTCTAAAAGAAATACCACCAAACCAATAATTGTCTCAGAAGCAGAGTGAAAGGGAGGAAAGTTAAAAAATAATAATAATAATAAAGAAAGAAAAAGGATTTCCTCCCCAAATTATGCCCAAAACTTACTTTCATATAAATGGGCTGATACTGTTAAGCAATGTGAGTGGTAGACTCATGTCACTCACAATGAAACAATAAACTATCTTAACATATAAAGGAATATAAAACATTTTGAACAAATTCATGGATGATACACTCATAATATATATTGAAGTGAAGCAAGATGTCCTTAGTATTAGAGTTTGAAAAGAGGTCCCTTTTGGCTAGAAAATTCAAGGAGAGCAATCAAGCCCTTCTTTCTCATTTTTGGGGCCAAAGTAAGTAATAATGAGCCTATTCACTAACCACATGTAGTAATTTTGATGAATTTATAATTTTCTATCCTTTTTTACTACAAAATTTCTTACATGTTAGTCTACACAAAAAAGAGTAAACATAAATGAAAGTTTGACTATTAAAAGAAGTGAGTCTATTTCTTCCTTGTAAAGCATCAGTTCACTAATGCATCTAGTTATAAAATCACTGACTTTATTTTGTTTCAGCTCCAAAATTGATTCCTGGGAAAGTTGGCTGACTAAGCAGTTGTGGTAAGCATATCTTCTAACTAAAAATACAAAGTAATGCCAGCTACAATACAAATTAAAAGTAAAAAGCTACAAAGCTGAGTTCAAAAGCCAGAAAGGGAAATCACTGAGTAGCAGGAAATAGAAGGCACTTAAGTGAGTGTAGTTAAGTTGTCTTATGCCAAACAGACCAGCACTATTAGCATGTATATATGCTTTAGAAGCTAATGTCTATAACTCTTTGTACAACAGGAAAATATACCTGGAAATAGTGTACACAGTTCATGAAGGGAACTATAAAAGTCTACTTCAGAGACATTTATGAGCTATAGCATAAGGATGTGCCATGGAAACGGTTTGTGTTCTCTGGGCCAGGGGTAGAAAGACTCTTGTGGAAATTAGAAGCCCATATCTGGGCTGTGCTGGGACCTGAATATGCAAATCCAAGTAATTAACACAAGACTAAGGCAAAACTGTCTTAGAATCAGTAAAACTTTATGAAAATCACTCCAAAAGGAATCTCCACAGATCAGGGAGAGTAAAGATGGGAAATTACTCTCTCTGAAGATGAGTTCAGAGACCAAAATTACAAAGTACAAACAGAAACTCACCATGTAAGAGTCAGGTGAGGCAAATAATGGAATAATTCAATTAAATAAATTAACTATTGATAGTGTAACTATCTAAAAGAGATCTAAAAATAAGTTTCTTCAGAATAATTAAAATGACAAAAATGAATAGAATTCATAGGAAAAACATATACTGAAAAAACATAGGTTGTTTTGTCTAAGAACCAAATATAAATTCTAGAAATAAAATATGTTCATTAAACAAAATTATGTTAAAGTATAAAACTCAAGAGATGATGAGTTAAGAACTAAATAAATGATAGACAGGAAAAGCATTCAGAGCATAATCCAAAAAAATAAAACTTAGATACTGAAATAGTATATTTTTTATCTTTCTCTTTAATAGCTTTTCTGAATATGAGGAAGTTACTAATTACCTTTTGCTACACTGAGTTGTGGAGAGCCCTGCAGATTATTAACTTTGTGTTTGTCTCTACAGAGTACATTTGATCAGTTCTAGATTTCTTGTGACTTTTTCTTAGACTTTAAAGTAGTAAACTCAGCATAATTCATATAGTATGTTGTATACAAGACAATAGGGTTGAATAATTAAAGTTCCCTAACTTGTTTTTTTCCCTTGTAGCAGTGTATACTCTAGATAATTTATTGTCACTCAAAATTTTATGTATGTATTTTGCTTATTGGGAGTTATCATACAATTAACATAAAAATGCAGATATTTCTTTGACTTACTAATTTCATTTCCTTTGGCTATATACCAAGTAGTAGGATTGCTGAATCATATGATCATTAATTTTGAAGAAGTTCCTTACTATTTTCCATAAAGAACATGCAAGGATTTCCTCCTCATCTTCACCAACACTTGTTATCATGTGGATTGTAAAAAAGCTGAACTCATAAAAACAGAGAATAAACTAGTGATTTTTTAGAGAATACTTTATTAGTTTCTGTAATCAAACCCATGTAGATATGAATTTACATATTTAATACAGTGCATTACCCCTGTAGAAATGGAAAAAAAATTAACTTTCTAGACCAATATGGCTGTTAATTTCTGCACAATACCAACTCAACACAGTAAATTGGGATAACTTTTTCCAAAGTCGACAGCACAGTTAAAGTTTCCAAAAATTCAAATTATATATATATATATGTGTGTATATATATATTTATATTTATATAAAAAGACCAATAATAGCAGTATGTTATGCATCAATAGCAGCAACAGCTTTTCCAGGTTCTGCCGTCATCTGAACAAAATTATAGACATTCAGCACA